CAAGCTCTCAACAAAAGTGATGAAGGAAAGAAGCTATATACATATATACATTGGGTCAATTAACTTAATTAATCGTCACTGTTATGACCCAAACCCGCCCCCTAAGGGTTTAGTATTGTAACCGACCAGTAATCCATGATTACCAAAGGCCTACTTAACAGTAATAACAATTATACAATAAGAGAGGCCGACGGAAGCCTGTAAATAGTAAAATATAATGTCCAAAAAGTTGTGAGGACTTACATGAACAAACAACTTATATATATCGATAATCACATAAGTCCATGTCCAAACATATATATAATAAACATGTCATAACTTAGGGAATTAAATCCCAATAACAAAACGGTCAAAACGAAAGTGTGGAACAAAACTTCATAACAAGGTCATAGCCACAAGAGGGCAAGGTAAAAACACCCAAGAGCCTTGACACATGTCGACTCGGAACCTCACAATGAGGCGCAGTAGTTGGCTTGACAAAACAGGGATTAGGTCGATGCCGTTAAGACTGATCTGGTGCTTGATCACCTATATACATATAATAAACAGTAAGCTATAACCCAGTGAATAACAAATGTGTAAAGGGTTTATGAATGATGTCCTTATCACAATTCCAAATAGTCAATTTCAGTAATGAATCAGTTCACATTAAGCAGTATTAATATATTTCAGAGGCATATGAAATCATTGCAGTCATATGTGGTACATCCAATAACAAAACAGTACGATAGGTCTTAAAGACCAAACAGTCAGTTGATGGCCATCAATACAGTAACAGTAGTTCCAAAGATTGAAACTAACAGAGATCTCTATAACGGTAGCAATAATAGTAATAATAACAGTAACAGTAACAGTGATAGTAGCAGTAACAGTTGTTATGGATGCCACGAGTACAGTTCACAAAATAGGACAATCATTCATTAAATGAACAATATTATTTCAGAAAACATTACGTTTAATCAATCAGAAAATAATTACAATAGAACATAACTTTACAACATTATTACTCACAGTGGGCTTTTTGAAACACGTGCTAAAATGCACTAAAGATGCGGCGTTTGACCTAACAAATAAATTCAAGCACAACAATTCAATACATAGTTCAATCATTCAGTCGGTTCTATTTAGTTTGTTGTTTACTTAATCGGTTTCCATTTGTTGTTCACTCATTCGGTTCATACTTTCATTCTATTTTTCAATCGTGTTCATGAGATGCAAATGTGCATGAAAACACTTTAAAACCATTCAAATGAAGGCCCGAAAGATAGAAAAATGGAGCAGAAACAAAATCTGGACTGCCCTTAAAACCGCACATGTGAGGGCACTGGTCGTACGTGCAGAACCTCCACCGCACGTACACCCCATACGTGCAATTATTTTAGTATGTGAGCTCAACACTACCCTATTTTCTGCACATGCGGGGCTCCAGGTCGCACATGCGGTGCTGGGTGATTTGGAATCCGAAAATTGCTCTTCATTTTGCAAAGCATCCTTTCGTAAAACCAACCTCATTTTCATGCAATTCAACTCAAAACCCTGAAAGTAACCTTGACTTACAAATTCTAACATCAAACACAAGTCATGACTTTAATTCAACTCAAGTTTTCCAATGTAAAACAATTAAACTTTTGAAATGAAATGTGTATACATAGATATACAAGTTTGAGCTTTAAAGCTTCAAATCTCATAAACTATCCCTTCAATTTTGAAGACGCGTGCATGAAGTGAAGTGTACAAGAACAAATTGCCATGAAATTATGCATGCATGTTGAATTTAGGAGCTAATCCATTCAATTCTTCCATATTTAGCCATACATGTACTAAGCTTTTCATGTCATGAACAAAACCTCTAATTAATCATGAACTTCATCCTAATTCAACTCAAAACTTGAAGGATTATGGGTAAAGCATGTCAATTCATGAAATTGGTGAAGAATTCTTACCTCAACTTGGTGAATTTATGAAAAATTCAATTTTACTTCACGTACTCTTCTTTCTACCTTCTTTCTCTTTGTTGAACTCTCTCTCTCAAAAGTCCCTCAAAGTTGTCTCTTCAATAACCATTAACACTCTTTTATTTCCTCTTTTCTTATAATTCAATTTGAAGAGTAGAGTTAAGGGTTAATTAATCTCTAATTAATTTTAAGCATTGGTAAATTATAGGTTTAACCAATTAAATCAATTGCACTCAAATTAAATTAATCCTTATCCTTTATGATCTCAATTAAACTAAATTTAAATAAATTAATAGGAATTAGGCTCTAATTCCTATCCTATTTTTTAATTTTACCTTATTAAAATTAACAAATCAGACATGTTTAACTTTCACTCTAACCTATCTGTCCACAATAACACAATTCAAACAATCACATGGCATATCAATAACACTTCATAACATATAATCACAGAATTAACAATAAGCATATAATCAATATAATTAATTGGCTTAATTAAGGAGGTGGTTGTCACAATTACAAATCGTAATTTTACAAATTTCATAGTAGACTCTAAAAATTATGCTGAACACAGATATGAAGTTGGTTTTGGTTTCTAGCGCCTCTAAGACTTTCAATTTCAGTTCAAAGTTATAATTGCAACATATATTCCTACATTCGACATATATAAGTTCAAAATCACATGATTCACACACTTAAACATGCAACCTCACATCAAACACATAATCACATGCATAATTAAGCATAATATGGGTTGGGTTATCACAACTTGGGTGCTCTTGTGTTGTGTGATTCTTCAGTTGTTTGATTACTTCATCTCTTAACCTAGTTTCTTGATGATAATGTTGTTGATTTTGTTCTTTGGCATTGTGACTTTGTGCTTGGGGTTCATTCGGAGTTTTGAGTTCCTAAATCCTAATACCCGCTGAACTTTATTCTATTTCACCATTGACAGTATTGGGGACAAAACTTAAGCAACAACAGGGTTGAAGAAGGAGCTAAGATAGTATTTGGTTGACTGAAATGAGTTGGAATGGAATGAAATGATTATTCCTTAAGCTCTCACATAAAATGACGATTCCCTTGAAATAGGAAATGATTATTCCATTTGTAATGTATTTTGTCACTATTTTCTTAGTAAACCAAATATGAGAATGAATATTTTGATGGAATTATCATTTCATTTCAACTCATTCCAGCGAACCAAATAGAGCGTAACCACTTTTGAACCATCCTGAGGTCTTCATTGCAAAGCCTATGAAGGATAGAGGAAAAGATAACAAGAAGTGTTGAAAGTAGGCAATTCAAAACTCTTGTTGTGTGTGAGTACCCTATATGCCCTCAAGCTCAAAGGTTTTCTACCAACAATGAAATTCAGCAATCGTCATCTACTCTCTGGCTTTTCTTACTACCTAACCTAACCTAACATCAAGATCAAGCCTTTGTTTTCAATCTTTATATTCATTCACTTATTACTTACCGAGAAGGAAAAAACAGTATAGTTATTTATTATTTATTTTATTTAAACAAAGAGTTTAACACAAATGCTGAACAAAAAGACCCAGCTTAAATTTGGGTGAAAAAAGTTTAGAATAAACACACCAATTGGTGGGTAGTCATTGTTTACTTTCTTAGATTGATAAACTAGATTCAGGAGATGTGGTTGGAGGCACTACAAGAAAAAGAGGCTATCACTACGTTTTTTTTTCTGACATTTTTGAAAAACGTCGTGAAATCTCCTATACTTTTTTTCCATTTTGAACAAATTTAATTACTCATCTCGTTTTGTACACCAATATTAAAAAAATTGTGAAATAACATTTACTTGTGATTGAAGAGGCAAGACTTCTCTGATCAAAAGAGAGGCGCGACTTTAGAGAACACATTGTTGCTTTTGAGAGAGAGAGAGAGAAAGAGAGAGAGAGAGAGGCAGAGAGAGAAATCAAGGCCTTGAATCTTCGATCTCTATCGATTCTTTGGTTGTATGATTTGGAAATGCTTGTTCTACACTTGATTTGAGCGTTTGTCTGTAATATTGCTTGAATCCCTCTTATCTAAGTTGATCTAGGGCTCAAGGTTAGAGTTTTTTGATATGGATTTCTACATTCACACAAGATCTGTATCTAATTTCTAACGATTAATAGCTTAAACTAACGATTTATAGTTGATTTCTATTTTCTTTTCTTCTGTTTTGTATTCTCTCTTTTCAAATCGATTTTTCTAGGGTTTTGAGTGCCGTGTTAATGTCTCTAATCACGTATAGGATAGCAAGCAGCGTTGGATCTGGATCGTTACCAACAATGAGTCGAAGCAAGCTCAACACGTAGAGATGTAGATCTTATTCTCAGATCTGCTCTCTCTGTCTCTCCAATCTGCTATTATGGTAATATCAAATCTACTTTCTCAATATCTCCGATCGAATTTCACATATTCTCTTCATTGCTCTATGAGATAGAAGAGGTTTGCATTGCATGTGTGGAGGGAGGGAGGTTTCAAAAAAAAAAAAAACCCACAAAATGCCAAAACAGGGTGTTAAAAGGGAAGGAAGAATGAATCCAAAAAGTAAAGTCTTCTTTAATTTCACTTTCCTCTCATTTCATGTGTTGTGGATGATTCTTTCCCCTTTGTTATCATTTCCCAATTTCTCTCAACCGCTTTGTCGCCTTTTTTCATTCCTTGTCCTTTGATTCTTTCCATTTCCACCCCAACCTATGTTTTTTTTATTTTTTTTTTTATGATTGTGTGATTCTGAGGGTGTTAAAAGGGAAGGAAGAATGAATCCAAAAAGTAAAGTCTTCTTTAATTTCACTTTCCTCTCATTTCATGTGTTGTGGATGATTCTTTCCCCTTTGTTATCATTTCCCAATTTCTCTCAACCGCTTTGTCGCCTTTTTTCATTCCTTTTCCTTTGATTCTTTCCATTTCCACCCCAACCTATGTTTTTTTTTATTTTTTTTATTTTTTATGATTGTGTGATTCTGATTCATCACACTTAAAAGGACTTGCAATTTCATTGGTTTTTATGTAAAATACTTGGTCATGACCATGGGTTGTACATTCTTATTCATTTCGCTTTGCATGTGTTTGGGTTTTGGTCTAACTGAAGCAGTTCCTGCAAATTCTCTCATCATAAAGCTTCCAGGTTTCAATGCTACTTTCCCATCAAAGCATTACTCTGGGTATGCCTCTTCCTTACCATTTTGTGTATTTTGACTTCACAGCTTTGTTTGGTTCTTGGAATTGTCAAGAAAAATAAAAATTTTCTGAAAAATGTGAAGAAATTGAGTAGGCATTTTCCATAAGTTTATTTTCTTCTTCTTCTTTTGTTTGATTATCATAGAAAATCGAGAAGTACAAGTAATTTTATTTCCCCATTATTCTTTTTTTTTTCTCAACAAATTCAAATTCCAAACATAACTTAGAAATGTTTTGATTTTGGGTGTGATGTGAAGGTATGTATCAATAAATGGGAATCCTGCAAAACAACTCTTCTACTACTTTGTCAAGTCGGAAAGACAGCCATCGAATGATCCGGTCATTTTATGGCTTAATAGGGGGCCAGGGTGCTCTAGCTTTGATGGGTTTGTTTATGAACATGGTACTTCATTCTTGAAACACATCAATTTTAGAATTCTCAACTTATCTGTTGTTACAATAGCTTTACTTATTGTATCTGTACACAAATATTAGACTGTAAAATTGTTTTTCAAATGTGTGAGAAATTAAATTCTATTTAGAATACAAGGTTGATTGAGTTACCATTTTGTCCGTAATATGTTGTCATGATATACATGAAATGGGTTGTTTGGACATTTTTGAGTTCTTGTACTACTAACACATTTGATTTACATATTACATCAGCCAAGTAAAATTTGTTATGTGTATAAAATGTTTATTGTGCAACCTTGCAGGACCATTAAACTACGAGGCAGGAAAACGACACAGAGAACTGCCCATATTACATCTCAATCCTTATAGCTGGTCCAAGGTTGATAATTCTAAAATGTATGTTTATATTCTGAATGAATGTAAGAAAATTACTTTTAAAAACCGCTAATTAATTATGTTTATATTTAAAAATGTTTTGGTTTTTCACCTCCTGTCATGGTGACTATCTAGGTTATAAAAGATGATACTTCTGATCTTTTCTAGTGGATGAATTATCTTTTGAATGGAATTAGTTGATAACAATGATGCCCCCTTGTGAACACATGGCAGAATGCTATGCCTATTACACAAGTTATCACTTGAAACTTTATGATTTGATGTCCTTTAATTGATTCTGTTGTTTATCTTATAAATTGATTTAATGCTTGACTAATAGGATGTGGTGTGGCACTTATAGAAGTATCCCCACCAAGAATGCCATTGGTGGCATGACTCGATGTTGAAGGTATTGTCTGACATGGCTTAGATTGTCGAGATTGTTGAGGCACGACTCAATGCCATTGACTGGATGTTGAAGGTATTGTCTGACATGGCTTAGATTACATTACATTACAACATATTTTGTGTCTATATCTAATTTTTCTTGAAATACATTTTAGGATTGGGGAATTCTTGAGCATGTAGAAGATTAAGTGATCCTTAAAGTGCTGCTTTGTATTTGTGCTATTAGTTGGAGTCTGCCATAATCATTACATAGCATATTATAGGTGGCAGATATGATTTAGGTAAGCCACTTAGTCATTGTCCAAATGACAATGTCCAAGAAATAATTTGAATGTTACATTGTCAAAATATTTTGATAAAATTATTTATTGATAAAAATGATAAATCATACTTATTCTCTACTTTTGCCCATTAGATATTTTTCAGCGAAAATGCACTTACAGTGTAAAAAGTTGACATGGATGTAACCATAGCATAAACTAGAGGTGTCAAGTGACACTACTAGATGTTGAAATTTGATTATAATATAGTGAACCCAATGTTATCGGAAAAGACAAAAAAAATTACATTATGGGTTTCACAAAGTGACCCAAATAGAATAAAATAAAAAATATAAATGCAAAAAATTTACATTTTATAAATTGATCCACAGAATATGAATATCTAACCACCTCTACCAAAAAAATTAAACAATTGAAAATAAATAAATGCAATCAAGTGATTAAGAAAATTAAGTTTACAAATTCTTCAATTTATGTTTATTTTCGTGAATCTGATTGTAATTTATGTTCTGATGCAGGTATGTAGACCAATGAAGACTAACAGTGAACTCTCTCATCAATTTGAATCAATTTGAATTTAACTCATCCAAACTTGAAATTTATGTTACATGCAGGAATAGATTTTTGAAATGCAATCTAGTAAAGCTCAATAGTCTCTTACTTTGGTGATATCTTGAGTTGGGGATAATTTTCTTGGTAGTAATTTGCCATCTCTTGTTAGTTGGATCAATCATTATAGCTCAACACTTCTTTCTCAGTTAATGTCTTTGTTAAAACATGATTTGTGAATATGTTATTTTGTGATTAATGGTGATTGGATATTAAATTGAATGGGAAATTGAACTAATGTTGTATTTGATATTTGAATGAGAGTTATTATTTCATGTTGGTGTTATTTTTCAGATTTTTTAGTTCAATCATATAAAATTAGCACAATTTTTTTTTTTTAAAAAAAGAGAGGCTATCACGGCGTTTCTAAAAACGTCACTAAATATTATATCAACGGTTAGATTTTTCAAAAAGAGTACGACGGCGTTTTAAAAAGGTCACTAAATAGCATGGTGATGTCATAGTGGAACTTTATAAAACGCCGCCTATAGTAATATAGTGACGTTTCTAAAGCGTTACAAAGTTATAGCGACGGCCGCATCTTCGGCGCTTGGTGCAAAACGTCACAAAAGGTTTAGATGGCGTTTTTGGGACCTATAGCGGCGTTTTTAAAATGCCGCTAAAACCCTCATTTCCAGCAGTGAGGGGTACTTACTGCTACTCGCAGCTGCAACACAAAAAAGCCATCTCTGCTCTCTCTGTCTATTGTTCAAAAAGATCATAACCAAAGACATTAAATTATCTTTTTCTCACCCTCCCCTTTATCCATTTTTCTTTTTGTGAGATTAAACATTCAATAGTTTAAAGAATAATACAAAAAAAAAAGTCATAAAATTGAAAAAGTAAAGCACTATAGAAACAGGAAAGAAGAGATCATGGTGAATCAGAGAGATAGAGATGATAATTATACACTGGGGATGTTTTTGAAATTTTTTTTTTTTGGGGGGGGGGATGGAATGGGTTGAAACAGAGGAATGAGTCTTTTAATATCAAAGGCTATTTTTTCCCTCTAAAAAAACAAGAAAGATCAAAGGCTTTTGTCTTTCCAATTTTTGGGTTATCATCATATAACTTTGTTGCACATGTACCTACTAAATGATGAGACGTAGCCTTCATTTGGGATATAGGTTGACTTTTTAATTTTTTTAGCGTTTTCGCTATCTTAGCTTGGGGTTAAAAAGTCTTATTTGGAATCGGTTTTTTGACTTTTTTTTTTTACTTTTGTAAGAGAAAAAATGAAATGATTATGTTTTGAATGTGATATTTTGTCTTATTGAACTAAAAAGTCTATTTTGTGCTAAAATAGCTCCAACTCAACCCAAACCTTCATGCCAAACGAGCCCGTAATTCATTGAATTTAATGGGCGAGAGAATTCCGTGTGAATAAGTATTTAATGGGCAAATTACACCGACACAATCAGCGTTTAAAGAAGAAGAAAAAATTATATTTATACATAAATGGGGAATTGTATAATATACCTTGAATATCATATGCATTTTTGATTTTTTATTTTCTTTTTCAATTATGATATTATTTTGAAATATTTGGATCAAATACAATACATAAAATTCCCCTCGAGCATTAATGTAATACTATATTCTAAGGTATAGACACTACAAGAATCTGCACTTTTAGCGACCACTTTTCGCGACCAATATAAAAGTTGGTAGCTAAAAGTTACCTTTTGGCGACCAAATATTAATTAGTCGCGAATGATCATTATTTTTGACGACCAAATATGAGTTGGTCGCAGAAGATCCTATGTTGGTGACCAAAAAATGAGTTGGTCGCAGAAAGTGATGTGGTTTTGGCGACCAACTACAAATTTGGTCGCGGAATGTCACATTTTGACGACAAAAAAATAAGTTGGTCGTGCAAGATCAAAAATAGGTTGATTGTGGAATTGGCGACCAAAATTTTGGTCGCTAAAAAACTTATTTTTAGCGACTAAAAATATTTTAGTCGCTGTATATGGAGTTTTGGCTACTAAAACTATTTAGTCGCCGAATGGAAAATGAAACATTATTTTTTATCTTTGGTGACCAAAATTTTGGTCGCCAAAAACTTATTTTTAGCAACTAAAAATATTTTAGTCGCCGTATATTGAGTTTTGGCTACTAAAACAATGTAGTCGCCGAATGGAAAATAAAAAATTATTTTTTATCTTTTGGCGACCAAAATTTTGGTCGCCAAAAAACTTATTGGCGACCAAACTTGTTGTCGCAAAAAAAAAAAGAAGAGTTTTTTGCGACTGTAATAGGTACCGTTGCAAAAAAAAAGTAAAAAAAAAAATATATATATATATTGTGGCTTTGAGACATTTTCATATATATATATATAGTCACAAAATAGTTTAAATAAATGCAACGTCATTTTTCTGTCACAAAAAAAATTAAAAAAACAATGTCGTCTTACTCTTTCTTTGTGTCTGTCTGTCTGTCTCTCTCCCATTGTGTTCACCTTGCTCACTCTCTCCCTCTCATCTTCTCTATTTATTGAGCTCTCCACTACAAGAAAATGCACTTTTAGCGACCACTTTGTCTCTCTCTCGCTCATCACTCTGTCTCTGTCTCTCTCTATTTGTCTCTCACACATCTCTCTCTCACCACCCATCTCCTCTACCACATTCACCACTACTGCAAATGTCATTCCACTACCACCATTATTACCAATGTTGTCACTCTACCTCTACGACTACCATTACTACCACCATCACTGCCACTACTACCACTGCTACCACTACTGCTACTACTATTACCTCTCCTCCTCTACCACCACTCCATCTCCTCTACCACTACCATAACTTCACCACTAATCTCCTTCGCCATCACCTCTTATACACCACCTTCACCACTACTGTCGCTCCCTCTTCTCTACCACAAAAAATTAGCTCTTGATTTTTAGTAAACAAAAAAAAAAAATGGGCCACAAAAAAATATTTTCCATTGACCATAAAAAATTAACTTTATTTTAATAGAAAATATTTTTCATTAAAATATTACCCTACTTCTACCAAATAAAAAAAAAAATTCATTAAAATAAAGTTAATCTGTCTGTCTCTATCTCTCTACACGTCTCTATCTCTCTAAATTTCATTAACTTTATTTTAATTGAAAATATTTTTCATAAAAATATTACCTCTACTTTTACCAAATAAAAAAAAGATTTCATTAAAATAAAAATGAAACTAATAAATTTTCAACCTTAATAACTAAGAAAAATAAAAAAAATAAAAAATTTCTGCACTTTCAACCAAAAAAAAAAAAAAAAATTAGCAAAAAATAAATAAAACTATGGCCTATCTTAACTCTCCTCTTCTTTTCTTCTTTTTTTCGTTTTCCCGCTCTTTCTATTTCCCTCCTTTCTTTCCCCCTTGATTTTTAGAAAGAAGTGCCAAACATGGACTGCTTTGCTAGATACAGAGTCGCCACTTAAATATTTTATTTTTGGGGGAATTTAGGAAACCCTGACTCGTGCCTAAGGCCACGTGTCCATCATCACCAAAGTTGCCTCGGCTCGGGAACTTGGGTATGATTGGGAAAGGTCACCTATGAGCACCCCCGCTCGCCCGATCAAAGATCGACCTGTACTAAGTATGATATCTAGTTTTTGAAAACACATGCGTTCTTATTCCGGTTATTAGCGTAGAATTACTATGTGATGCGCACAGCACACAAGTATAGACTAGATCGCCTAAGTTGGAACAAAACATCTCATGTTTGTTTGTTTGAAAATAGTTTGAAGGTGCTACTCGCAAGTAGGCTAAGCCGTGGATTTGCCACCCTCGAGTGGGCTTAGAAAACATGATTTTGCCACCCTCAAGTGGGCTTAAAACTCACATTTCAATGAATTATTCCAATTCAAGTAATCTAAACTTCACCCACAGGCATTCAGGCAGTTATATCACATAAGCAAATAGCCTCATGGCAAGCATGCTTCCATGGTAGTCACTCACACACATGCAAGGATGCTAAAGCATAAACACTCACCGAGTACTCCGAGCCAAAACAGAAACTAGTTAGTAATCAATGCATGATCCTAGTTCATGTTAAGATGGCTAATGCAACACATGCGAAATGCAACTAAAAATAGGCTCGGCTATCCTAAGATGTCATGTGAGACACAACAATTGATACATGTATTCAACTTGGAATTGAAATACGATGCAGTTTGTATGATGCGCCGAGCCCGGTGTATGCAATACGAATGAATAATGCAAACATGCAAAGCATAAGGATGCTAATTGAAAGATGCCCTAAACTAACCATCAAAAGCAGGTAAGTAAAAGGGAGAAAGACGTGAGGTTGGAAGACATTCACACACTCACGCACACTTATTACAAAATTTGCCCTCTCGACGGAGGGTCCGAAAGAATAATACAAATTAACTAATTAACTAATTAACTAACTAACAAGCTAATTAATTATTACACAACACTTAACTAATTAAAAAAATTAATTAAGCTATGAAAGCAATAAAGCAGTCTCGGGAAGAGGGACAAATGCATGCTCGGACGGCTTTGCTTGGAAATCCATCACTATGCTACATATTGCCTCTGTCTGCACTGCTCTACACCTCTGGAAACTGTGCCAACTTCTGTGACACTTCTAAACTACCTTGGGGACATGCTGAGAGTTCAACGGCCAAGAGATGAGGCCATCGGCCAGGTGGAACTGGTCCTCGACCATGTGTGAAGCCATCGGCCAACAATGAATAATCGGTCGGCACTTAAGATGGCCGACCGACCATGCCTTCCTGCAGAATCCTGTTTTTGCTGCAGCAGAGGACAGACAGTGCATGGCAAGGTATTTACAAGACAATGTATGCACGACCACCCTCCCTATCATGCTGTGAACTCAAGGGAGTGTGGCTCTTGGCCCTTGGGCCACCAATCATGCATTTCAATGCATGATGGCCAAAGAAG